GTGGTCTATGCACAAACTATCTAAAAGCCATGGAATGAGATTCAGCACTAAGAGAAACTGACACATCCTACCCATGGATGAGCCTCAAGAATATTATGGCAAGTGAAAGCAGCTAGTCACCAAAGAATAAACACTACGTGATTCTACTTACGCGGGGTATCTGGAGTAGTCAAATTCTTAACGACAGAAAGAATGTGGGTGCCAATGGGGTGGGGGTGGGGATGAGAAGTTATTATTCCCCTGGTTTGGGATGATGAAAACAGTTGTGGGGATAGATGGTGGTGATGGATGCATGACGATGTGAATGAATCTATGCCACTTAAACATATGCTTAATCATGGTTAAGATGATAGCTGGGTGTGGTAGCTCACACATGTAATCCCAGCTTCCGGGGAGGTGGAGATAGGAAGGATCACAGTTTGAGATCAGCCCAGGCAAAAACTTAGTGAGACCCCCATCTCAATCAGTAAGTCAGGAGTGGTAGTGGACATACCTGTGGTCCCTGCTACTGGAGGGGATGGAGCAGCTCCACCCTGGGCAAAAATGGGAGACCATAACTGAAAATTGCCAAAGCAAAAAAGGACCAGGAGTGTGACTCAAGGGGTGGAGCATCTGCCTAATAAGTACGAGGCCCTGAGTTCAATCCCCAGTAGCACCATAAATAGATAATAAAGGGTTAAGATGACAAATTTCATGGTATGTATAGTCTGTAATTTAAAAAACTAACATTTGCAGAAAATGTTTTTAAACAGTCATATTAGTATTATAGTAACCTTTTCTCTTTTGTGGACATAACATTGAGTTACTAAGTTTATATATTCACATGGAGTGAATATATGCTTCTAAATTAACTGAAAGTGAAGAAACAGAATCTCTTTAGAAGTGTTATGTTATTTTGTAAGTAACAGCCGAGGAAATGCTGTCTTGCACCGGAACTCTAACAAAGCAGAAGTTTGGCATTCTGGCTACAGTTATTGGTGAGTTTGTCAGTAGTAGCCCGTAAGGCAGCAATAGGTTGAGTCAATTTAGACAGGTGCTGGGACTTCCCTGCACCAACCAGACTGCAGAGGTGGGAGCAGGGGAGGGGCTGCGTGGCTCCCTAACTCTGTCATGCTCATCAGCTGCTCCAGGTAACTCCCCAACACATAGGTGACAACAGAGAGGCAGGCTGTCAACAGGACAGGGCTAGCGGCAGTGACAAGTAGCTCCTTCTCCTGTGAGATCAGGCTGGGAATTTGCAAAGGGAAAATTGACATTTCAAGTGAGACAAATGGAAAATGGTCTATAGAGAAAGATGACCACAGTGGTTAAGGACCTGCAGAAGCCAGAGACAAGGCACAGAGATTCTTGGCCTTGTACAGGGAGACACCCCTATACTTGGCTGGAGTACTAGGGTGTCTGAACACCAGCTCTGAAAGGGACATGTGCAGCCAGCTCCAGACAGCAGAACTGGAACCAGGGTGGGTGGGGTGGCTATAGTCACCATCCTCATCATGGACCATGCAATGTGGTCTGGGAGTGCTGACATGTCTCAGAGACACATCCATGATGAAGCTCAACAGGAGCCCCCATGCTGGGTGCCGTGGGGGCTACTTTGGGACTCTAGATCCTGTAGCAGCATTTGGTATCCAAAGATAAAGACTGTATCTGTTAGCTCGTCCCATCTTTCTTGCTTGGAACAGTAACACAGGAGAGGACCTCAGCTCCATCTCCTGTTTATGGATAAGACTCCCAAGATCTAGGGGACATGGTTGCCCAGGACCACAGACAAGCATGTTACAGCCCAATGGGACCTAGGTTTCCTAGTATCTAACATCTTACCTCTCAAGTCACACTTAGCCCACTGAATCTTTCTAATTCCTTTCTGCCACGTGATCTCATTTAACAAATTTATGACTCTGGGCTGCAGACTGAATTATAGTTATTTGTTTCCCATCCCGTCGCAAGCTAAAGAAAAGCAGGCTTCATTAATTTAAGCGCTTATCTTGGAACAGCGTGTTAACAAGCTTTTAGATGGTACTCCAGCCACTGAGTTTCTATGAAGGTGAAAAGGCCTCTGGTCCATATGGTCTGGAGTCGTGTACATTTTCATTTCAAACGCTAAGGTTGACAGATCTGCTGGGAGCAAATGGGGTGTCAGTTAATATCTAATTACTCCTAATGCGAGTCACAGCTCATTTAACTGAGGCAGACGCCAGTCTCTGCTTCCAGGACACACATATTTAGGACATTAATTTACATTTTCTCTCAGTTGCTAGGCCTTGCCTTGCCTTTGTAGAAGTCTCACAATTCAGTGTGAATCCACAACCTCTTCCTTTTCAGTCCAGTATATATGTCTAATCCCGCCTCCCTCTGACTCCCCAAAATGCTAATAGACCTTAGGATAACAGTGACGTAAGACTGAGAAAAGGATATTAAAGTTGCTGCTTCATGATTTTCTAAAAGCAGCATCACTATGGTTTGACTAACAGTTAAGACCTGGGCTGGTTTCTGGTTGTCACTTGTGTTTGGTTGGGAAGGTGTCAGGCAAGAGAATCTGCACACAGAAGCTACAGTGTTGAGTTGGTGCTCAAAGGCCAAGAAAATCTCCAGAACAACAGCGCCTCAGTTTCTTCAGTTTGAAACATGGTAAGTCATGACAGCTCACCTCTCTCTCCACACATATTTGAGATTAACCTGGCCACACAGCAGAAGGAATAGGGTTAGAGCAGGCAAGATGTCACCAGGGCTAGCATGACCTTTCCCCTTTCCTCAATGACAGAAGTGCCTGGAATAAAAGACCACAAAAAATGTGTGACTCCACATAATTGCTCAAAGACCTGCTACGAGCCACATTCTAAGGGAGGAAGTAGAGTTAATGTAAAGGGCGAGATTTGATTATATTCCTTGAGTATATTTAGGGTTAGAAATGCAGGGGTAAATGGCTTACTTAACAGCATTTGGCTCAAAAGTGATGTAGGTAAGAAGGCATCAGCAATCTCCTTGCTGTGTGATTGCTCAGTACATGATTCATCCAAAGGCATGTCTGGGAGCGCCCTAATACACAGGAGATAAATGCAGAGGTGGAAAGGCTGAACTCAGTCAGCTCATAACTGACATAACTAACTTGCCGCTGCAAGTCATTCTGTAGGTATAAGGAACCGCCAGGAGATGCAACTATGTTCTAGAGCTCCTCAGACTTAGGAATGGCGTGTGTGGAAACCATCACTTCTGCAGGGTACTTTTTATTTAAAGAATTACAGAAAGAACAAAGAATTAGAAGAATTTTAATAAAATCAGTAAGTTTACATTTGTACATCTTGTGTACCTGGGACCCAGTCAGGGGAAAAGGAGAAAGTTGCAGACACAAAGTTTCCATGGATGAGCAAGCAAAAAGCAAGGGCCACTCCAAATGCACAGACACCCATGGGACAGTGTGGCCCTGTGGCCACCTCCCTGCACTCCTGGAGTGGCAAGCATAGCTTTCCACACTTCTCAGCTCAGAACTGAGGCCCAGGGCCCCAGAGCCTATGTAACACTCCTACATTAATACTCAATAGGCAATGATGGATAAACACTTCATAAAATTAAACAGTACTGCCCACAGAATATTAACGTAAACTGAGCTCTAATCATGCTGTTTGAACTAGAATGGTTACGCTGAGTCTAATGAGAGGGAGAGGCCTGCGTGTCAGTTCTAATGCTCTATTCAACAGCACAGTTGCAAAACAGCAGGCCTGTGAGAGAGAACCATGTATTTGTCTTAAAAATAGGATTTGAGAAAAGGACCTTGTGAGAGTGCAAGGCAGGTTAGAGAATGCAGCTTTTACCGCGGAACGATTCTGCACACTGTCGCAGAATACTGCCGTGTTAAAGGATTTGGTAGGGATGAAAAACTGCTCAGCTTTAATTCTCCTTCTTTGAAAGGATGACAGATGTTTCAAAATATTGATCAATGTATGGAGAGAAAATGGGATCAGTATTCCCAAATTAGGAGTGAACAATCACAAGATTGCAGCCTTTTGTGTACAGGGAAAATGGTGCCTTGAAAAGTGCAACTGTCTATTTGGGTAACTTGTTCTTTGAAGAATAAAACCTCACCTCATGGAGTAGATAATGATGACAAACACAAGATGAACACTCCAACCCAGACATCCACGGGGGAAGCTTGCGATGTTGCTTCAAATTCATACCACTTTACACAGCATACAGTTGTGCTACAAGAAATTCTTCATCATTTATTCTTTAGGTAATTGAACCTTGGTTAAGGGAAAACGGTGTCAAGTTCTCCACCAATGCATGGGTGCTTTTGCTTCTTGGTTCACTTGGAATCACAAAAGGAAAAGATACACTGATCATTATTAGTACAGGAAACAATTTTTAAAGAACAGTGAGCTCTTCTCGGCCTGAGTGGGGCTCAAGCCGATGGAGAGGAAGTATATTCTAGGGTATGTTGGCCATACCAGCTGATGCTGTTTTCCCAAGCACCACGGTACAGGGCATGCTGTCTTTGTGGTGAGCTCCTCATAGGGTCAATCATCCCAATCAGAAAACTGAAATAAGGGCAGTGAAATGAGCACAGCTGCAGCTTGTCCATGATGTGACACAGAAACAAAATAAGTCCCAGCTGGTTATGGATGAAAGACCTTTCTTCTGAGGATTCAGGAAAGCTCAGGACAGGTATAGAAAGTGCTGGGAGGTAAGGCAGCCTGACCGGACTTCCTCACAAGGTTGTGCAGAGGCACCTGCGGGAGCAACAGCGTCTCACCTGGGTCGAGGGCACAGGTGGCTCTGCTGGCTGCCTGCCTGCTGCAAGGACAGGTGAACACCGGCCTCTCTCCTGGAAAGTACACTGGGTTTAGGTCATCATGCTTCCCTTTTAATTTCCCAAGTATTCAGGAGGAGGTACGTTTTATAAGAAAAAATATCCCTAATGAATATGAATATGACAGACGAATTTCTAAATGAGAGAAAAACTACAAAGATGATATGAATTCAAATAAAAATATTTAGTGACAGGTTCATTGAGGCATTTCCAATCAGCAGCTGATGTGACCAGAAAGAACTGTGCCCTGGGCCCTCACCTGCCACAGGTTCCCTTTCCACGGCCACCTTCAGGATGGGCGAGGCGGCTTCTTGCCTGGAGTTTGGTCAGCTTCTAAATAGCTCTCCATTTGCCAGGCAGCCAGAGGCTTAGGAATTTACTTAAAAATGAGTGCTTAGGTAAACAAGGCAGAAGCTTTAGGGGTTGAGAGCTGGAGGAGAAAGAACAAAAAATATGTCCCTAAGGTCAGCCCCTCTAGGGGCAAAGGCAGAGCCCCATGTGGGTGGAGAACACTGCTGCTCAAGAGGTAAGGTGCTCACCCCGGGGTTCTGCACCCCGACACTTGCCCTGGCCAGGAAGGGCTTTGTCTCCAGACCATAAGGAGCAACACACATGTCTAAAGGTAGGATGGGTAGGGGTGGGACACCACCTGTGTCTGCACTGCACAGGGAAGACTCCCTTCTTTTGAAGGAGACCTGTGCTTTAGATAACTGTTACTAGACAGGTGAACTCCTGCCTGATTCTATTTTTGGAATTTTCAATTTACATTCACACAAAAAGCAATCAGCAGTGAGGTGTCCTGGTTCACAGGGACTGGCGTCTCCCAGCACCCAGATGCCTTCCCTTGGTTCTGGCTGCGGCAGAGCATGGAAGCTGTCTGCTCCTTGAGTCCAGCAGGCTGGAGAAAGAATTTGGAGTTCCCCTGACACTCTGGAGCTGAGCTTTTCAAGTCCGGGTGCCAGGACTGGGTGAGTTGGGAGTCGTGTGTCTGCTGGCAGCACAGTGGGTGTGCACAAGCCCTCCATTTGGGTATCTGACAAACGCAGGCTCACCAAAAGGGTTCTGGCAAAGCTGGCAGAGCTTTTTGTCCGAGAGCCGGATGACACTTCCCTTCAACTTCATCTGCAAACAGAAACCAAGACTGAGAATGCTGCCACGGAGTCAAGCCTGAATGGACTACTTCTTGGGTTTTTAGAGTTGACACATCTCCTAGGATTACTGTCAATGACTGCTTTCATATCAACCTCTTGAAATAGTTCATGAGACACTGAAATAATTCATTAAAAGCTTCAAGACTGCAATCACTGCTTTTCTGGCACTATCTATTCAAGATCCTTCTTCAATGTTCTCTGAGCTCTGATTGTTTCCACCTAGGCCTGTCATAAAATCATGGGTGGCAGAACTGGATGGAACTATATACATCATCTCACTTCCTGGCCCTCTTATTTGTAAATCAGAGACTTAGGCAATTCATCCAGTAAATTAGTGCCACCTTCCTGACTGGTCCTGGGAAACACAATTTCATTTCTTTAGAGGTCACTAATGAAACTAAGCCTTATACCACCAGTCTCAGTATGCAGAACATGGTAAAGTCTTCTGTACAATTCACAATTTATTCTTCTGACAGGACCCAGCAGCAACTTATTGAATTCTCTTGCAGTCATTAGTTACACCCATGATTCAACATTTATGAAATGCCTTCAACACACCAGGCTGGGCTCTAGGGAAACTGAGATAAGTAGATGAAGTTCCCTGCCCTCAAAGAATCCAAAGTCTAATAGTAAACAAATACAATTACAAACACATACTCATGCACAAAGTGCACAGGTGTGCAAAAAGAGACAGCATGAGATGCTTCTACCATGGAAAAAAGAAGCAGGTTCCATCTTGATTGGATGTTCACCAAGCCCAAAGAAAGGAGTAAGGGTATTTCAGGTGGTTAGGACAAAACATGCAAAAGCTAGAAGGTATGAGACAAGGAGGCATGCCACATGGGGGAGGATCCAAGCAACTAAGGCCAGGATATGGCAAGAGATGGGAGTCAGACCAAGATGGTGAGAGACTACATTTCCAGGCGGTGGAGAATCAACAGAGGCTTCTACATTCCACATGCCAGAGGAACACAATTCCTGTTCTGGCAGCCATGTGGAGCATTCAGAGGGTGAGTGCAGCCTGGGAACAAGAACATGGGATTCTGAGCCAGCCCAGGAGGCACCTCTAGGCTCTTCACTTACTGACCATGTGATTTCCCTGTGCCTCAGTTTCCTCTGCTGTGCAAAGGAGACACCACTAGTAGAGACAGCATAAAACTGTTGTGATGAAATGATGCAATGTAAACTGCCTAGAAGGCATGTGGTACACATTTGATGAGCACTGCTATTCTGACACTATTTTCTTTCCCTCAGCTTTTTCCACACACTCTCTTGACCATCACTGTCCAAATGGAAAGAAAAGCCACACTGATGTCGTACCTGCCAGTCCAGCCTCACCTCTGCCCACTTAGACTGCAGCTTCTAGTGAAAAGAATCAGATATTCACAGAGAGGAGAAACAGAAAGGTTGACCAAGGCCATGTTTCCATAGGTAAAAGCCTAGCTTCCAGGAACATGGGCTAGCAGAGAAGCTACCTGGTCCAAAAGTGAGGCACTCACCTTATCATACGTGTAGATCAAGTTTTCCGACCTGGCCAGGCCAAGAGCAACCTGTGTGGTCCTCCTGGTGTGGATGCTGTCCCTCACAGCTCCCATCAAGAAGGGGCACAGTAGCTGCACTGACCAGGTGCCAGGCAACAGCTGCAGCACCTGGGTGGCATCGAACTCCCTGGCATGACGGTTCAGCAGGTCCACGGCAGGCATGGTTAGTTCATGGGCAGAGGGGTCGGCATGGAGATACATGGCAAGCAACATGTGGAAGAGGCGCTGGCGGCAGAGTGCATCCTGGCCCTCAGAGCCCCATAGGCAGTAGTCCTCGGCTGCCGAGAAGTCCCCCAGCTCATGCACCAGGATATGCAGGGCTTTCTCATGCTCACCCAGCTTCCCGTGAAGGATAGCACGCTCCATGGGCAGGCTGGCACCCTGGATCCTCTCTGTCAGACAAAATTACCTCTCAGAAACCAGCAGGCCCAGCAAGGGGCCCACCACATGTCAGTGCTCCTGCTGCTCTCAGCCTCAGAAAGGGCAGGCAAGCTGGTTACCTAGATAGACATTGCTAAATACTGCCACCTAGATGCTCGATGGAGAGGTTTCCTTGTATTGTCCACTTGCAAATCCTTGTCTTAGTAAAACAGAAGATGCACTCAACCTATAAAGTTCAGATAATAACTAAAACAAACCTTCCTATGATCTCAGAAGGCCCTGTGAATCTCTGAGAACCATCCCTCCAGCTTTCATTACTCCTATCTTTTGACTAAAATAGAAAAGCACTAACCATCACTCTGTGTCCTCGGGTGACTGAGGCCAGGACTCTCCCTATGGACACAAAATCCCCAATGCTCAAATCCCTTATAGGAAATGGCACCTGTTTGCAAATAACCTATACATACACTTTTTTTAAAATCATCTCTAGATTACTTATAATACCTAATACAAAGTAAATGCTAGGTCAATAGTTATACTGCTTAAGGAATAATGACTTAAGGCTGAACATACTCAGAACAAATATTTGTTTTGGAATATTTTCAATCTGTGGTTAGTTGAATCCAGACACCCACTTCCTTCAAAAGACGTGGTCTACCCCTTTATTCCAATTTAAAACATACTTCATTGAAAGGAATGTGGCCTTATAGTATACATTATTCAACAAGAGGGTGGGGGAGAAAGGGTTTTCTTTTGTTTCTTCCAGATTTTAAGGAAAATAGCAATAATCCTGGCAATGTCAGTCCTGACCATGGCCCTGCCCTTTGTGGGCTGAGTCTTCACTGGCAAAGTCACTTTCCTTCCCATCCCATCTATAAAACAGGAGAAAAACAAGATCTCTGCCTACCGTAAAGGGATATTCCAAGGACAACTCTTAGTTATGACCAAGGTTAGTACTTGAATTACAGGCATCTGGCCACATGAGAGTGCCCCTCAGTCCTGATGCCCAAGGCAGACATCACCAGTTTTGTAACAGAGGGCTGGCTATATAAGTTGTGTCACTATAGCATCAGACACAGAGCCATGATACACATCACCATCCTCTCACAAGATTATTACTAAGAGGCTGCCATATCTAAGGCACAGGGAGAGCTGCAAAGATGGTTAAAATAACTGCAGTGCTCTGTATTTTTCACATCCATTATCTCATTGACATTGGACTCCCCGGCCACCCCAAGTGGATAGGCTGGGCCGGAATCATAATCACAACTTCCCAGACTGACACAGCCCCAGGTCACCTAACTCACATGGCTTCTGCCATGATGTGGATACAGTTTGTGCATATCCTCCCTGGGCTCACATGTTAGAAGTTGAGTCCTTAGTGTGCTGATATGGGAAGTGGCAGAAACTTTAACAGGTAGAGCCTAATGCAAGGTAATTAAGACATTTGGGGATTACCTTGCAAGAGATTAGGGTTAGTTCTTTTAGGAGAGTTGTCATAAAGGAACAAGGTTGGCCATCTCTTCTCTCTCCAGCTGCACTGTCTTGCCATGTGATCTCCACCCCACCCCGGGTGCTCCTGCCATGATGCCATCCATCATTAAGCTCTCACCAGAGGCCAAGTCAATGAGGCCTTCCAATACTGGAACTTTTGGCCTTGAAAACTGTGAGCAAATAAACCTCTTTTCTTTTTGCAGTACTGGGGTTTGAACTTGGGGCCTACACCCTGAGCCTCTCCACTAATTCCTTTTTTGTGATTTTTTTTTTTTAATATAGGGTCTTGAGAACTATTTGCCCAGGCTGGCAAATAGTTCCTCCTGATCTCTACCTCCTGAGTAGCTAGGATTACAGGCGTATGCCACCAGCACCCAGCAAGACTCTTTTCTTTATAAAGTACTGAGCCTCAAGTATTTTCCTACATAGCAATGGGAAATGGACTAATAGAGGTACAAAGTAAGTCTCTGAGTATCTCATGCTTTCCCACAGTGCCCTGGAGGACACCCCTATTTTCTGCAAGCCCACACTTTGTGACTGCTCAAACAGCAACTCCTCTAGGAGGTTCCCCAAACCCTCTTACCCAAAGAGTGGGGTATGAAGCCCTTCTCTTCAGCCCCGTTAAATGACAGGTCTTTGAGGACCAAAACCCAGTCTCATCCATCTTATATCCTCCATGAACAGGCACACACTGTATGTGCTCAAATGCCGGCTGAATGAATACATTGATCAATAATCTCATGACTAGCATGAGATTTTTACAAAGGGAGATGTAAAGCAATAAGTACAGGTGAGGAGTGACAGTGAAAACATTCAACCACCTTTACTGGATGGATTCCAAGCAACTCCAAGCAATTCGGAGGGACAGGGTGCATGGTGCGACAACTGAAGTGCAGCCCTGGTAAAAGTGCTAGCTAGAACCAGTGTTTGTGACTCATGTGAAATATCAGCCCATGTCCACATTCTGGCTCTATTGCTCACAGGATGTGTGACATGGGACAAGCAACCTCTCTAAGTTTCAATTTACTCTCCTGTAAAAATGGGAAGAAAAACCTCATGGGGCTTTTGAAGGAATTAAGCATCATCATGCATGCTCAGCATTTTGACCTATGCCTGGTATATAGTCAATCCTATTTGTGGATTCCATATGTACAAATTTGCTTACTCACCAAAATTTATTTGTAACCTCGAACTCAATGCTTGTGGCAATTTCAAGGTCATTCTCAGCTAAGCACATTGCAACAAAAGTTTTCACTGCTTATACAATAGCCGAGTTTGAACAAGGTAGCACTTCTGCCTTTTTGTTACAGCTTTCAAATTTTATACAGATATCTTTTTCACGGTCTATTTAGTGCCATGTTTTTCACATTTTTGTGCCTTCTGTTGTTAGTTTTGCTGTTTAAAATGGCCCAACAGTAGTGTGACAGTGCTGACTATTGTTCCTAAGCACAGGAAGGCTGTGATGTGCCCTGTGGAGAAAATCTAAGTTAGATATGCTTCATCCCAGGCCTGAGTTAAAGTGCTGATTATGAGTTTGATGTTAAAAAAAAAATCAACAATACTATTAAATGAGGCATCTTTAAATAGAGTCACTCATAAAACTTATGTATTCACTGATTATTTGACAAAACTGTGACCAGAGTTTGACCTAACCCTGTATTCCCCCTTGACACAATGGGTCAATGTTCATTAAACTCTGTTTATGAGGAGTTTGTAAATAAAATTATTATAAGTAAGGAGAACTGGCAGAAGTGGTCAGAAAATGGTATCAAATGCTGTTAAAGAAAAACATGTTCCTAACTCCAGTAAGTTTAATACCAACAATTCTATGATACCAAATATAGCAAGAAATGAGTTCATTCTATCAGGTTCAAGCACCATGCTGCTCTGTGTGTGGCACTTTCTGTAATTCAAAAAGCATGGTCTTTGCACCTTTGAGGGACTAAAAACCTGAGTTCCCGTCCAGCCCACTGCACTGTGTCTCCTAGATTAAGGCTCTCAGGCTCAGAGCCCTGAGTAGTGTGAGAGGAAGCCACTGGGGGCAGTGTGACCAACAAAACTTTCATCAAGATTAATGGACTCAACCAACCCCAGACTGAAAACATCTGGAAAAAACCAATTGGATCTGTACTGAATATGTACAGACTTTTTTCTTGTCATTATTCCCTCAATAATATATATAATAGCTGTTTACACAGCACTTACATTGTATTCGGTATTAAAAGTTATCATGAGGTGATTTAAAGTACATGGAGGATGTGTACTGGTTCTATACAAACACTATGCCATTTTCCAAGGGGACCTGAGGATCCACAGATTTTGATATCCTTGGGAAGGGGGGAGTCCTATGGGCTGGAGATGTGGCTCAGTAGTAAAGCACTTACTGAGAATGCACAAGGCCCTGTGTTCGATTCTCAGCACTGCATAAAAAACAACAACAAAAAAACAAAACAAACCCTTGGAGTCCTGAGGACAATGAGGGACAACTGTACTGGAGTCATTACAAGGACCTAAGATGCATGCAGTACTTCAAACTGAATATAGCACTTTAAATAAAGGTATGTTCAACAGACCTGCAGACTTCCAAAACCTACAGGTAGCTCCAATGTCACCTGTGCTGTCCTAGAGGATGAAAGCCCAAGAAGCCTCACATGCCCTCCAGAAAGGCTGACTCTGCTTCAGTAAGGCTGAAGGAATCACCTCATAGGATCAAAATGGAGAGTCTCACCAAAGCCAGGCTCTCTGTCTCCACGCTCTGACCAAAGTTTCTAACTGGAGAGAATGCCAAGTTTGTCCTCACCTATCAGAAAGTGGACTCGGTACAAGTCGGACTTCTGGAGTAGGCGCCGTAGTTTGGTTTGAGTCTCAGTGGCTTCAGTGTCCTTGTTGCTGGCAGGCGTCCTCTGCCGCAACACCTCTTCTAGGTACAGGACAGCCAGGTGGGTGTGGTATTCTTCTTTCTGCAGCAAACAGGATCCAACAGACAGTTTTCAAGAGGGAGGCCTGTGGATCTCACCCCCTAGTCAGTGCTGCCACAAACAGATCACTGCAGAGGGGAGCTGGACAGATTATTAAAAACAATGTACATGATACCCTTGCTAGACTAAAAAACTCCAAAACACGCCAACTCAGAGATAAGTTTATAATCTTCAGTTGCTACAGTTTGGATGCTGAAGGTCCTCCAAAGGCCTATGCATTAAAGGCTTGGTCCCTGGAGTGGTACTCTTGGAGGGTGGGGTCTAGAGAGGGAGGTCCTTAGGTCACTGGGAATGTGCGCTTGAAGGGGATTATGGGAACCTTGTCCCTTCCTCTCACAGCCTTTCACTTCCTGGCCATGAGGTGAGCACTTTTGCTCTGTCAGGTGCTCCTGTCATTATGATTTGCCTTACTACGGGCCCAAAAGAAATGGGGCCAACCAACTGTGGGCTGAAACCTCTAAAACCATGAGTCAAAATAAACCATCTCTTCATAAGTTAATTGTCTCAAGTATTGTGTCATAGCGACAGAAAGCTGATTAACATATATGGAAGATACATAAAAAGGCTACTTCTCATTTTGAAAAGGGCAGGCTACAGGATTTAAGTGTTCTACAAAGAGGTACAGTACAGCTTTTCTCTTTTCCTTTGAGGATAATAGTAAAGAGGGAAAGAGAAGAAGCATATAAGTGGAGTGGACACGAGATGGTCTCTTTTGGTTGGTGCTCCCTCAGACCATCCATAACAACAGACTGAATGGCCTGAGAACAAGACACTAGAACTGTCTGCTAAAAGCTGGCAGGCAGGTTCCACCTTCTAAGTCCCAACTGTAACGTGGCAGCCCACACACTTTAGTCTAAGTTCTGAAGAGCTCACCTGCAGACTCCTGTCGATAACGAGGTGTTCCAGATACGTAACCAGAGCTTTAGGGTACTTTTTAAGGCAATTGATAATATCATCTGGATTAAAATTATTTTTCTGCTGTTCATCCAAAGGTCTCTTGGTGAAAACTTGAACTCCAATCTAAAGGAAGAGCAGCAATTTAATTATCAGTCTTTTCAAAGTCACCTCTTCTCATCTTTTTTTGGTCACTGTACATTCATGCTTTGGATAAAACCATCATGGACCCTTTGGTGATTATAACACATTAAACAGGTATAGCTTCTGGTATGTCAATCACATCTCAATAAAGTTGTTAACAAAATGCAGTTATATATAGCCCAACATGAAGCCCTGCCCAAAGAGCATAAAGCAAAGACAGAAAAGCAGTCTATAGTCGGAAGCCCTCACATGTCTAGCTAGGATTTCTTTACAGGTGGTTGGAAATCTGAAGAATGATATTTAATGGTAAGGTCTTGACAAACCATGGAGGAAACACTGTGTACTATTAGAATTACTGTAAACAGCGATTGTCCCTTCTAAAGAGTAAGTGAGAAATCAGAGAAAGTGCTAGACATTCACTACAGTTCAAACTCAGTTTCTGAACACAGATGGTCTGCTTGGTAGATCATTTATGATACTTGGCTAGTCTGAGCCTTTGGTCCCTAAATAAGCTTCCCGGCTGCCTTCCTATGCCTTTCACATGGAGCACTCCTGGTCTAATTCTGCCTCCTGAGGAAATATGAATGAGGTGATGAGCTTCTGTTTTGCTTCTGCGGGCACTGATGTGTGCACTCCTATCACACGCACACGCGCACATACACACACACACACACACACACACACACACACACACAGGAGCATGCACATACTCACCATGAACCTGAAACACGAGAAATACAGCACAGTTGTAATGAGTGTGAATTTATGGGTTCTATAAGCCTGGATTTGTGTCTCAGTCCTACCACCTATATAACCCTGAGTGTTTCTTAACTGATCTATAAATCACGCCCACCTCTGGGGGGGGGGGCGATCGAGTGATGGGCCCACTGTGTGGCACACAGAATTGCTGTGATCCACTCTGAGCCCTGGGAAGGTCTGCCACTTTGGACGGCACTAGATTCGTGTTGCAGGTGTGAGTGAGCATGCCAGGTGTTATGCAGGTGTGTGCACAAAAGCAAAGCAAGGGTGAAGTAAAAAGTCTACTAAAGCAGGGACTCTGACTTCCCAGTCATGGCAGCAAGAGGCAAGACAGGAGAGCAGACTCCTACCCCTCATTTAGACAGACAGATGCAAAGCTCCCCTTTTAAGACAAAGGCCCTGCCTTGAGAACTCACTTCACCTTCCTCAGAGTATCGAAGGAAATGTGAGGACCAAAATGCTGCTGTATGCCCAGTCATCTGTGGGGCAACACTATGGATTCTGTCCCAATGCCCTGAGCATGGTTCCTCCCCAAACAGCCAACAGTCAACAGCACATTTTCATTACTGTCACTTCTCAGCCTTCATGATGGGCCTGGCCCTGCTCATGATGTGCCTCTGGCTCCATGCCAGAAGAGAATGTATTATGACGCACAAACCTCCTCACTTCTCTGCAAGACCCAGTCAGCATAGGTCCACACCAGCTCTCGGTCTAAGCAGTAGGTAAGAAAATCCACAATGTATTCATACAGGTCTGAGCGTGTGCAGTCCTGGATATCCCCGTTCACAATGTTCACCCACAACTGGAAAGGAATAAGAAATGAATTCATTAAAAACCCCAGAAGACTACATATCTCATAGAATTAGCCTAGGAAGTCAATAAGTTTATTTACCTGGCCTTTGGAGACTTTCAAAAGTATAAGCTGAGCATCCCTAGTATGAAAATCTGAAATCCAAAAATTTTTAAGCATGTCAACACTGCAAGGGGAGGTGACCCAAACAATGTATACACATGTGAGTAAATGTAAAAAAATAATAAAATTCAAAAAACACTGCATTTTAAATTTCAGATTTTCAAATTAGGGCTGCTCCACTGATAAAGTCTATGCATTATTCCCAAATCTGAAAAGCTCTGAAACACTTCTGGTCCCAAGCATTTGGTTTTATTTTGTTTTGTTTTCTGGTGGAACTGGGGTTTGAACTCAGGGCTTCAAACCTGCAAAGCAGGCACTGTACTGCTGGAGCCACATCTCCAGTCCCAAGCATTCTGAATAAGGAATAGTCAACTTATAATAGGAAAAACTTTATATTCTTAAATCAGTTTTAATTTTTTTTTTGAGAAATAAAGAAAGGTAGTTGAGCGTAGTTACTCACACTAGTAATCCCAACTACTTTTGGGAAGCAGAAATCAGGAGTATCGCCATTTGAGGACAAGCCCAGGCAAAAAAGACCTCATCTCAATCAGTAAGCTGGGTGTGGTAGCATGTGCCTGTCATCACAGCTATATGAGAAGCTATAGATAGGAGGACCATGGTCTGAGGCCAGCTCTGGGCAAAAACATAAGACCATATCCAAAGACCAACTAAAGCAAAAAAGGGCTGGGGGCATAGTAGAATGGATAGTAAGCATGAGGCCCTGAGTTCATACCCCAGTACCATCAAACAAAACAAAACCACCACCAAAAAACCAAAACAACAAAGAAAAAACAAAGGTAAAAAGACATGTTCCAGGAAATCAAAAAACTATTAAAAAGCAAGAAGTTCTCCTTATTCTTCCCTCCCTCTGATCAATACAGTAATACAAAACAGTAAATAAAATTTATGGGGAGAAATGAGTATATTTTAAGTGTTTCTTCAGGCCGACGATGTAACTGAGTGTTAAGAGTGCTTGCTTAGCATGCACAAGGCCCTGGTTTGATCCTCAGCACCACAACAAATACATACATACATATATAAAAAATAAACAAACAAATAAAAAATTTCTTCATAAAATAAACAAAGTGGTCACTGATGACATCTGGACACTGAAGAAACCCATTCATTATCAGCAAACTTCTGTTCCCATCTTCTCCATCACCAGAGTTCTTGATTCTGAGGCCTTTTTTGGACTGAGAGATGATGTTGTGCTTTTCTAAAAGCTTTGGTGATCCTGTCCCCCAGTGTTTCCACTGTCATTTTCATGGGAAGCTCAGGACAGACTCCAGTGATAAAAGCCTTACTATTTCAGCCAGAAACTTCCCCACCATGTCAGCTGAAATGTACTCTAGGGGCCGGAGGATGAGGTGGCACCAGGTGAGGCAGGAAGGTCTGGAGGCTGCAGGAGAGGTCCTCCTGCATCACAGAGCCAGTGAGCCTCACCTTCCTGCCCACTTGGCTGCATCTTTTTTTTTTTTTAATACAGGGTCTTGCCTATATAGTCTAAGTTAACCTTGAACTTGTGATCCTCGTGCCTCAGTCTCCTGAGTGCTGTTGAGCTACAGCACTAGGACGAAGCTCACAAAACAGGGCAGGAAGTGTTTATTTGTCATTTTGAAGTCAGCACGCCAACATCTTTTATAATAGGGTTTAAGTCTCCCTTATCTGAAATGCCTGGGATCACAAATATTTCAGGTATCAGATTTAAATTCTGGAATATTTGTATATACCCAACAGGATTTATTAGAGATGGGACTCAAATCTGAACATGCAATTAATTTATATTTCATTTATACCTTATATACATAGCCTGGAGGTAATTTACACAATATTTTAAATAATATTGTGCATGAAACAAGTTTCACAGTGTGGAATTTTCCACCTTCAGCATCAGTGTCAGTCAGCACTCAGAAAGTTTTGGGTTTCGAAGTATTTCATTTTCAGATTAGGGACGCTTAACCTGTACAAGTCTCCTCAACACAGAATTCCCCAAACCAGCAACTTAATCATATATACATTGAAAAGTGCTGAGTTTTTATAGAGTTTTGCCACATATGGATATCTATTACATACTATTTCAAGTTTGCAAATCTCTCTATGTTGATGCTGATGTTATTACAACACTTACATCAAGCTCTAATTCTAAGAATATCACATTTTAAAAAATGAAAGTTTTATCTGCATCACCCACATCTACTCTTGGCCTTGGGATACATGCTGATAAGAACACATTTTCTTGTTTTACTCTGCTCTGCAATCATGTATCACAATAGTTTCTCAAAGCAACCAAAGACTAAATACATCTTTGGCTTTGCTGAAGTCATTGAGAAGATGTGACTCTGGTTAATAGGGCTGATGTGTTTGGCCCCTTACAAAATAAAACAAAAAAGGTTCATCAGATAACTAGTACACAATGCAACATGAGTGGATAATAAAGAACAGAAGGGAGAGTCTTCTAAAAACGTGAGACAAAACTTTTTCAATACCAGGGGCAAGCTGTAAGATGTAAGGTAACAGAGACGCTAACAAACCAGTACCACTCAACTGAGGTGCAGTAGCCCCGCCAGGCCACCAGAGCACTGGTTCAAATCCCAGTTCCACCACTAACAGGGGCATGGTGTTGAACAGCTCCAGTTTGTCACAGGGCTATAGTAGCTCACTGGCAAAGGTTACTTTCATTAACAGTAGAAATTATAAATTCAACTGTTATTTGTTGTCCTAATTTTCTGATGAGACAGTAACATCCTATGCTTTGTGGCTCAGTAAGAAATCATATTTTCAAGTTGGTTTCATAATATAGAGACAGTAGTGGTAATTAGAGGCAAGGAAGGGTAGGAAGAGCAGGGGATAGAGAAAGGCTGGATATGAGGTACCAAAATACAGTTAGATAGGAGAAATATAGCCTAGAGTTTTACAGTTCAGTTGGGTGACGGTTTACAACAGTTTGTTATATACATTAAAAAGACTAACACAGAGGAGTTGAAAGGTTCTGAACACAGAGAATGGTAAACTTTACGGAGACAGAAATGCTAATTGTCTTGATTTGATCACTGCATATTGTATACATGCATAGAGTTATTACACTGCATAATTATGACATGTCAATTAAATATCTTTGACAAAAGAAATCAGTACTTCTCCATTTCCTCAATTTTCAAAAGCTCAATCCTAGTAATGTTCTTTACAAAGATATAAAGACAAAGAAAAGAAAACTCTTGCCAACATTTCTTAAAGAATTCACTTTGTAAAACAAAAGTTTTCATTTTATATAAAAAAGTATAGATCAGGCAAAAGTGGTCTCTATCAGTTTATTTATTTATTTTTTAAGAAACACTAAGTCAAATGATGCTGATTTTAAAGTAATGGTAAAATGCTTTTGGACTTACCTGAACTGCAGCTGCATCTTGGTTATTGTAATGATAGAGCAGTCCAAGTGCAAAATACCTGGAAAAGAGTAAGGCAGTGAGCATCTTCTCCACCTCTTGCACACAGAGATCACAGTCCTGGTCCCCCTGGGACTACTCAACTCAGAGTTCAACAGCAAATTTCAAACAACAAAAGGATCCTTATTTCTGTTCATTTGATTTATGTATTAAAAAGGTGTATTCCATCCACCTCAAAAAAGGATCTGATTCCAATCTAAGAGCCAAAAAAAGTAAACTATAAAAACACTCTGGAAAATTACATTTGGAATCATAACATTTGGAAATATTAATTAAGAAGTTAATATAATTTCTTCTCTCTTTAGTTAACTACAATTAGCCCATCCTAAGCTATTGCTGCCTGAGCCTTTACTGGAGAGAGGATAGGATTCTGCAGTGAGCAGCAGCAGCAAACACCACAGGTGCTCAGTCACCTAGAAAACAGAGTCAGGGAACCTGGGAGCTCAAGGACCTGAACTTCACGTCAGGCCTCACAGTATGAACTGTATGACTGTGAGCAAGTAGCCTAACTTCCCTGGCCTTCCATTTCCTTCTTTATAAAGGAATGGATTGGCAATTGCATGGGCACTGCCCGGGCAGTGAGCGCTTGGTGCCCTCCCACGTCCTGCAGTTATCCTATTCCTGGTCCTCCTCCTCTCCAACAAATGAGGGGAGTAAATTGACCCAGAGAGAGGTCAGATTCCTTTCCTCAAAGAGAAAATTCAAGATATATATATTGGATGGAATCTTTTCACTTTAATCTTTGGCAATGTTATGCTGACTCCACAGATCCAACCATTCTGACTTACTACTACAAGGTGCCAGAGTGTATTCTGGCTCTGAAACAAGATACAAATTTGACTTACCTAATTCTAAAATCTGAAATCCAAAACACTCTAAAATCTCAAGTTTTAAGAACCAACATGATACAAAAAATGTTTCACATTTTGGATATCAGATTCTCAGTTTAGGGACTTTTAACCACTAAATTCTAGGGAAACACTTTAAGATCTGAAAACCTCTGAAACTGGAAACACTTCAGTCCCAAGCATTTTGGATAAGATATCCTTAACACCATTTCAAAGTATATTCTGGTAACTGATGGAAACTGTGGAAAGAACGACTACAACTACCGTTGTAGAAGCCAGGGTCAACTCAGGTGGTGCATGGGATCTAGCATGGTGGCCCCCACAGTCTCTGCAGAACTTCATCAGCACTTGGCTTACTTCAAATTCTTAACATCATAACCAGAAAGACCTTATTGCTCACATAGAATCAAAGGCTCACCAATGCCCCTTACTTTTAAAGATAAGAAAATCCAGGCTTAGAATGGTTAGGCCATGTGGCCGCCTGCCCTGATGAAGAAGCTGCTGACCCTAATCGAACCAGTCATTGTGTGTTCACTGCCCATGGACATGACTGCCAACTGACTCGTGGGCATAACAAATGCAGAGCTTTAGCCCACGACCTTGTATTAACAAGATTAGGAAGTTTCCCTTCGAATGTATTTATCTATATATACCTAATCAATTTGGTTATCAATGACTTAACTGCATTATTTTACTAAAATCATGTGTCATCTTTACAGGTGAATCCTAGGATGATAACAAAGGAAACTTAAAAATCACTTTACTTGATGACAAAGCCCATGGTGAGTTCCAAACTATTCTCTCTAGTACCAGTGAATGAGTATGAAAGTGAATGACTCCACGACTCTTTAGATGGTGATGACATTGACATCATCTGAGGAGTCACTCTGACTTCTTGATAGTCACCATGGGGGCCCTTGGGAGCCCTAGAGTCATGCTGGCTAAGCCATTTCCCAGCAGTCTCTCCAGCACAGGGTCTCAGCACAGGGTACAGAAGGGCCAGAGAGAACCCCTCCATACAGGGAAGACAACACTTACTTTCTGTGCTTCTCTAGCCAGGCAGCACTGTCAGTCAGAAGACAGAAGTTCTCAGTGACCAGGAGGTCCAGCAGGCTGTCATGGTCAGCCTCTGCATACAGTTTGAGCAAGGCTGTGTCTATGTCTTCTTTGTAGCCATTTGCTACTTCTGTGCTGCGGACTTCATTCAGGTAGCTCATGAGGAAGCGTTTGCACTTGGCCATCTTCTCCTGGTCTCCTTGGGTCAGCTGGTTCAGGTCTGCATACTCGTGCAGAGGAGGATGAGACCGGGTGAATGAAGAGGAGGTGGGCAACAGGAAGGGGTACAGAGAGATCAGCTCCCGGACATCAAGCTGGCCGCTTCTGCAATTACAGTGTCAAACTAAATGAAGCAAAAAGAAAGAAAGAGTACACATAGGCACACAAAACGACACTGGAGGGCAGTGCCCACCGGCACATGTTAACAGGGGTGGATATGGGGTGGGTACCTCAGAGCAATCATCCTAATTTGCAAATCCAACAAGGCATTACCAAACCAGGTGCCACCACCTGGTTCAAAAAAATGAGCAGAAGGGACAAAGATGAGAGCTGAACACAAATAATGTGGAGGGGTAACACCAAGACACCTATGCCAGAAGGAAGCCCCAGGGTGGCTCTGGACTCCTGAGAAAGTAAGGCATAAAAGCCACACCAAGGACCACATGGCGTCAGAGTCTGAGCAGAGATGGTGTCACACTTCTTCCAAAATCAATGCTTTCCTGATGCTAAGTTATGAATAGATGGCTGAATGCTTCTTAAAGAAGGTACTTTATAAGACCCTAACTCTGGTTTGACAACATAAGTAGAAGTATTCATGCATCCATTTCCGCTGTGACTCCTGACAGAATTTCAGAGCAGAACATTAGGACACAACCTTGAAATGGCCAGCACAATGCTGGGCGTGGTGGTACAGTCTATGCAGAAGGTATAGGTAGGAGGATCACAGTCCAAGGCTAGCCCAGGCAAAAAATACAAGATCCAGTCTGAAAAATAAAGCAAAAAGGGCTGGAGGTGGGACTCAAGTGGTAGAGCACTTGCCTAGCAAGTGTGAAGCCTGAGTTCAAACACTAGTATTATATACACACACAAAAACCCAGCAGAATGTTCTCACCTTGTAAGGCCCAGGGATTCATATTTAATGATGTTCCTTTCAAATTCATTGTTGGGCGCTTTCCCATCTCCTCCCCTCCAGTCCACTGGTTTTTTGTCTGCAACCACAGTAGTTAATGGCAGCATCACTGAGCTGTGTTATCTCCACCCTGGCCAATGTCAGGCTCAGCTGTGGGAAAACTATTGAGAAAACAAGCAGGGCCATCCCAACCCCACACACTGGAAGGTGAGGAGGAATCTGGGATCATCACTGTCTGCAATGTTCACTGCACCACCTTCAGTACAGCTCTGACTATCTATGCTCCACTCCACTGGCGTTTGCCTCAAGCCTCCACTCCTCTCTCCACATCCTCACCCTCTCCTGACCTTCAAAGGTTTGTACAACCAAAAGATAATGCCAAACCTCTCAGCATAGAATTCAGGGCTTTTCCTACACAGATCACAAATTAGCTTTTCACTTCTGCCCTTGCCGTCCATTCCACAGCCCACACATCAGATATACCTACAGCCTTGCCAACATCAGCATCACACTCACAGTCTTTGCTCTTTGCCTAATGCAATGGTTCTCATTGGAAAGCATGTTGCTCCCCGTAGACCTCCGACATGTCTGAAAATAAGTCTTGTTGTGACTCAGGCCATGCTACAAACATTCAGTAGGTAGAGCTCAGAGCTGCTGCTAAACACTCTACAATGTACCAGAGTTCCCTTCCCCCACCACAACAAAGAACCATCAGGCTCCAAATGTCAATAGTGCCAAAGTCAAGAAACCTAGGCCTAAAGTAGGATTCTTGATATGGGAAATTTCTGCTCACTGTGCAAGATACAGGTCAAATGCGTGAAAGAAAATTCTTCCACTGCTAACCAGAGCTCACACCATGCTCCTTGGCAGCATAGCACCTCTGCTGAGTGATAGGCAAAGACCCTTTCTCCAAATGAATACAGCCCCCTCAAAAGCAGAGGTGCTGTCTTGCCCCTGCATCCCCCACTCTGATGCTTAGGCCAAGTTTGCTAAATGAAAGAGGCAAACCTCTTGGATAGGAAGACAGCTGCAGAACCCCTAGAGGAAGAGACACCCAGCATGTGGCCCTCGTGAATGATGTGTGGCTTTCTCAACGCTACCAACCATGATGAGCTGGTTGTGTGTCCTCTGCCACAGTTCTGAGAAGGAGTCTGAGAACAAGTCTCCATACAATGAGGGAAAAATAAATCAAGACTTATTAACAATGTGTGTCATGGGCACAGGAAGGAAATGAGAGCCATCCTTGTCTTAGTTACCTTCTTCAAATCTCAGTTCTCTCAGTCACACTTGTGACAAAAGTCGAGCAGCTATCAGCCCCAAATTAAGCAGCTAAGGCTAATTTTGGACATATAGGAACTTTTTCCTGATGACGGGTCCATCCTCTTCTCTCTTACCAAACCAGGTAATGCATCCATGGCCATGAGAAGATGAAATGTACTGGCATACACCCAAGATGTGAGCGAAGTCATTGATATTGCAGGGATAAAACAAGATATGGCAAGAAAGAGCTGGGATCCAAAGGAGCAAAGATCCTATTTATACTCAAAAGTGAACCTTTTTTCTCGGAACAGATTGCAACAGCACATGGATTTACACAAGTGAAAGTGATACTGGATAGTCCTGCTCTAGGAATGACTTATTTACTCAGAAATCTGTTCTCTATACTCAACTTCTGGCAGTCCAACCAATGAAAGCCATAGTGGATGGCAGCACATGCCTGGCCATATGAAATCACCCTTGAAGACAGGCCCCAGATGGCACTACACAGAAATGCAAGGGTGTACATTCTTTGCTGGGTGGCTCTAAACTGTAGAGTCATTCCAGTGGGGCTTTGTAAGCATTTATTTTAAAGGCAGTGCTCTGGTGGGACATTTAAAGACTATCATGGTAGGTGTCACTTCACCTCCACCAAGGAATGCTCTGCGAGCCTGTGAGCAGCCACTGCCTCACAGAGCACACAGGCTGAGAGCAAAGGGCAGCAGAAGAACAGGTGTGACAGGTATGGGTGATCAAGCAAGAGAGAGACAGAGACAAAGACAGAGTGCACATGAGAACCCACAGGGCAGCTCCCTTTAAGTACAGGAATAATCATAATACCAGAGGGACCTCCATGAGAAAATTCAACTTCGTAAGAGAACTGACCAGGAGTACACCATTTAAAGTCTTTAGGAAATAATGAAACATCTTCATAGGTCTTCCCAGAAGCCTCTACTTTTTCTAAATTCAGCTTCTAGTGAAGTCTCTAGAAAGAAGGAAGCACGAAAGGTATTCCTTAGGATCCTCACTTCACCTAGTTCATGCTTCAGAATTTTCTTCTCTGGCCTTCACAAGCCCGCCACTTTGCAGGTCTTCCCAGGCCTCTCCTCAGCCCCGCCTTTCTCAGGACTTGGGACTGTATGGGTGGGAGAGGATACAAGGAACCAGTGTGGGAAGTATGAGCTGCAGTGAGCCACCCCTCAGCTCTAACAGTGGAACATTTCCCACCATGGCATCACATGTGAACCGGAGGTTCTGAGCACAGGGACACTGTAGTGGCAGCCTTACTACCAACACCTCAAATTACCTGAAGAGCTCTTTAGCTTCCAGGAACTGAAGTTGTGCAAACTGTATAAAGCCCGCCTGCTGCAGAATTCTCCTGTACATTACCTGCAAGGAAAGACAGGTTTCATCTCTTAGAGACACCTTAAAACCATCACCAAGTGAGGAAATGGAGGTTGGAGTCCACAACCCAAACTTTAATTTTCACATGGAGCTATGACATTACAAGTTAAAGAAAAAAAAGTGTATATGAAATTATATATACAGTCATTCATCAGTATCAGACAGTATCAGACTGGTTCCAGGACCCCCATGGATACTAACAGATGCTTAAGTCCCTCACAAAACAGCACAGTATGTCTACAGAACCTATGCACATCCTCCCATACACTCTGAATCATCTCTAGGTGATTTACAATGCCTTGTACAATGCAAATGCTTTGTAAATAGTTGTTATATTGTACTGTTCAAGGAATAATGACAAGAAAAATACACACATTTATCATATATGTAATTTTTTTTTTTTTATGCAGTGCTGGGAACTGAATCCAGGACCTCATACAGGCTAGGCAAGCTCGGAGCTACACCTGTAGCCTCCTAATTTATTTTTTTTCGAGTAGTTTTGATCTGCAGCTATTGAATGCACAGTTATGAAAGCCACAGATGAAGAGGATTGACTGTGCACATGCACACACAAACACCCCTTCACGGATTTGTTTCCATGAGTCCCCAGGGAACTGCTTCATCCCTTTCTCTTCCTCAGTAATCCACAGGGCTTCCATTGGAGCATCTACCTCTGGCTGCCCAGGGGGAAGATAACAACTCCAGGGGTTCTAGAAGTCCAGGGGACTGCCAGTCCTGCCCCTACTCTTCTGGAAGTGACTTCAAGGGAGCACTTCTCAGAGTATCCCTTGGACACAAGGTTGGTCCCATGTAACTGCTACACAGATCCATGGGTTTTCTCAGCCAAACTGGGGAAGTGCTGTGTGTCCTAACTGCTGCTGATGCCTGCCACCTGTGAGTACATGGCTGTCTGAAGTTCCTCCAGTAAAGTTGCCAGTTCACCTATGTCTGACCCATTATGACTCAGCTTTCCTCCACCATAGGACCCTGTTCTTGTAACATCCAGCAACAGCAAAACATACCTCAAGAACATGTCTAGTGACGTCCGTCCCACTCCCTTGCTCTCACGGCCCAACATGTCATTTCTGAGCTCTGTCCACAGTTTCTCTGAACAGCTTCTGAGAGCTTCTGGACATGTCTCTGCTCTGCTTTCACAGGTTCATCACCACTGTCTGGGCGCTCATCACTTTCCAACTCAACACTGTGTTTTAACTGTTCTCTCTGCCATTAAGTCCTCCTCCTTCTAATCACCATGCTGCTTTATAAGCCTTGAGTTCACAGAATATACAGCACTCACCTCACACCACTAACTTAGTCTCTGCCATTTACTCAGGACTCAGTGCCCTGCACAACTACCTGGTCCACTTCCAAGGAACTCCACTTCCATTACTGCACACAGTCCCCATTTTAAAGACAAGAAAGTTCTGCTCAGAGATTTTAAGTTTTTAGGCCAAAGCAACAAAAGTAGTAAATGGTTGAGGCATGATTTAAAACCAGATATTCTGATTCTAGACCCCAATGCTTTCCACTAATTTGTTACAAAAAAAATCCTGTTCTCCCAAATTAGTATGAAAAGGGCTTCTCTCCCTCTGTCCTGTGTGTGTGTGTGTGCGCACGCATGCGCGTGTGTGTGACTGAAGGCCTCGCCCATGCTAGACAACTGCTTCCTACCAGCTCACTCCAGCTGGAGAGACTCTCAAAAGCATAGCGACAGTCCCTCTTTGCCTCAGGAAAGCATCCTTAGTGATGTTGGAAACAGGACACTATTTAAACCTTTCATCTCCCTTCTCCAATCTGCCTTCCAACCTTCCTTTACATTGTTACCCTAAAGGCAGCCATCTACACCTTGGAGATTGCCCTGGCCTAATTATACCACCAAGCAGCAGGCTGAAGCTCTGTTTCCCATGAATGCCAATTCAATGTCTGAAAACAGAAAAGAGAGAAGCCATCCTCCCAGCAAAACAGACGAGAAGGACACATGGCTGCGGAAGAAGAATTCTCAACCACGAACAGGCTTATCAGAAGAAATCAGCTAAGCAGCAATCTACTCCTCATGGTCAAAGGCCATCTACTTTCCCCCAACCTGGTGGAAAACAGGAATTCCTTTTGTTGACACTTCAAAACTCCATGAATTAAGGAGTGCTATGGCTTGAATGTGCACCCAAACTTCCATACTGAAAGCTTACCTTCAAATTTATGTTAGGTTTGTAAGTGGGTCCTCTGGAAAGCAGTTAAGATTAGATGAGGTAATGAGGGTGGGCACTCATGATGGCATTAGCGCTTTATAGTAGTAGGAGGTGAGACCTGAGCTAACATGGCTGTCTCACTATGCTGTCCTGCACTTTTTGATACAGCACCAGACCCTCTCCAGATGCTGGTACCACACTATGGATTTCCCAGCCTCCAGAACTGTGAACATAAACACTTCCATTCTTTATAAATTCCCAAGTCTGCGGTATTTTATTATAACAACACAAAATGAACTAAGACAGGTTATTTTCTATACTCTATTCTGGAAATGCTCTGTATGGTGAATTTTATGTTACATATATTTTACCATGATTTTTAAAAAATAACAGACTTCTCCATGTAGTTTCCTTTGGTGAACTTGGAAGCAGTCAAAGGCTCCTGATTTCTGCGGTTCCTGCATGGTTCAGGTGGAGGGTGGACAGTCTGGAGTGTCCCAGCTCTACCCTTTATTAATGTGGCCCTGGGGTTCACTCCAGCCCCTGATGCATCTTCATCTTCCTTGGGGATTCTAACAGTCCCTACCCCACATGGTTGTGAGGAAGAGGAGTACCCCACTGTGTATAGCCTCCACAACAGTACCTGACACAATAAGCACTCAATAAATGCTCGCTCTCTTTGAACTGGGCATGCAGTTTGTACTCCTAACTAATGTCAGGATTAAACATATTCCATCATGCTTTCATGTCTGTTTGCTTGATTCTACTACAGCTATGTGAGTTTTAGAGAGGATGAAGCACCTAAATCCTTTTTTAATGAAAGAGAAAGAGGTGAAGTAAATGAAGAAACTTTAATAGTGACCTTCCTACAAGCAGCAGAATTCATCTCCTGATGGCAGCACAGTGACCCTTGCTGTGACCAGTGCTAGTTCCTAAAACATGGTGTCTCAGGTGGCAACAACTGCTTGCAGTCAAATGTGATAGAAAAATGAGTAGAGGGTGAGGCTAGGACAGGGAATCAAATGGGGTCATGTACTGCAGAAAAACGGTGTTTAAGTACACAAGCATCCAACAGGTCAAAGAAGGACTCAAACTGGATCATTTTTCATGGCTGTAACAAGAGTTTTCTGAGGAAAATGACAAGTGCAACAAAATGAGTCTGCAAATACCATGGTAGAAGGTTTGCCTTGTAAACCTAGTCGCTGAGGGGAGATAGACCCTGGAACCTTGTGGCCTTACAATCCAGGCAAGGACAGCACTCCCAGGTCCTTTTCCCCTTTCCTGAACCTCCTTCTTTCAGCTGTAAATGGATCCGCAATGCAGGGTGATGGGCAGGGGGCAGGAGGTTGTAGGGTACCCTTGGTGGGGTACATGGAGACAAATGAGATATTTGATTATAAAAGTAATGTAAGACCTATTCTAGTTTTCAACTGAAAAAGAAAATCTTTTAAGGGCATAAAAGTCTATTAACAGGGTCAGACAGGCTCCGTAGTTGTTCTCTTTATTCTCCACCTTTTGAGGTAGGGGTGAGGCATGAGCTTCTCAGAGGCAACAGGGAGCCATAGAAGATGAGGCCAGAGAAGTGGGTGGGACCAGGCTATGAAGCTCTCCAAGGGAGTTGATGCTACCAAGACACCAGCACACTCGCTGAAGTGCAATAAGCAAAGGATCTGGTCTGTAGGGAGAAAGATCACTCCACAGTGGCACACGGGATGGACAGCAGGCACAGATGCAGGAGAAAGACCGTCCCCACAGAGGCACATGGATGGATGGCCAACACACATGCAGGAGGCTGTTATAATAACTCAGGGAAAACATGAGAAGGCTCTGAATAACCGCTGATAAAGGCTGAATCTGATACTCTTCTTAAAATGTATCTCCAGGAATGTGGTGTGAGTTTGACGCAATACAGGGAGATGGTGGGGAGCAGGTGAAAAGGAAAAGAAACCTGGAGATAGCAGAATGGAGAGTAAGAGGACTCACTTTATTTCATTAAGCACTGACTGTGTATCTATTTTTGGCAAAAATTACAGAAGGGGGGAAAAAAAAGCAAAAACCAGACACAGGATGTTGAAAGCCTCCACAGGAAAATGTTACACACTTGGTATGCAGGACATGTGGTGTATGCAAGGAGGGAGAGACCCTCTGCACAGCAACTGTGAAAACTGCATGGCCCCTTAGGCCCCAGTACATCCCAACAGCAATGCATGTAGTCCCTTCTCAGAGAAGGAACCGAGAGCAAGCAGCACACTGGAGATCTGACTCTGGCCATATGCCTGTCCTTCCCGGAACTACACAGCCACCACACAAAGTGGAAGTGAAATGATTAATGTGTCCAGCACAGTATCAGGCCCTGAACAAACAGCAGCTTTCTTCTTTTTGCTTTTGCTGCCCCCTGCTGAATGCTGATATATCAGTCTCACTTAAGCAATAGTCAGGAACAAAGATGAAAAACTGATCAATGTTTACCTGTAAAAAGATACCCTCCTTCAAACCCTCTAACCATAGATGACACACCCTCTCCTCCTTTACTTTCAAAAGCTATTCTTGGCCCTTCCCACATGAAGCAACTGAGGCCCAAACACATCATCTGGTTCTACAGAGTCATAGATTTGTGTATGATTTATTTAGTAATGCCACAATTATGCTTTATTAACTCTCAAATACACAGAGTGACTAGAATGATCTACTATATGATCAATTAACAACTGTCAGGAAACTTGATTTACATCAATTATATTTATCATACCAGTTACAATTGAAGTTAATGTTTCTTAAGTGCATTAAAAGTTTTCTCCTCACCAGGCACAGTGGTACATGCCTGTAATTCCAGCATTCAGAAGGCTGAGGTTCCCTAAGGAAATCAAATGGCTAGGTTGCTGCAATATGAGGTATTTTACCAATATGATAGACAAAGTATTTGTTATAAATGATAAAAATCTAAACTTAAAACTCAATCCCAACCTAACAAATACAAATTCTAAAATCAGATGCTAGTTAACCTGGCCTCATTCTTCCAGTTTATAGGAACTATGTTCTGGATTCCTCTCAGGAGGTTCACTGAAAAAAGTTGGTTAGAAATACAGTCCAAGTTAGTTTATGTAAAACTAAGTACCAGAATCCTGTCAGAAGTTCAAAACCTGACTTCTCTACTCTTAGCTGTGCAATCTTAGTGGAGCTGTTCAGATGCTCTGCAGCCTGTTTCTTTACCTGTAAAGTGTTGGAAAAATAAAGTAAGATACAAAAGCCATGTGCTCTTCTGGCTGGAGTAAGGCCAATGCATGATAAATCTAAATGTTCTAACTGGTGGCTTACTGGCCTGCTTTCTTGGGACCAGTTAATTACAAACCTGAAATTTTTCTTTTGGAATGTTCCTCCGGGCTCCTTTGGCTAAAACCAAAGCCTCCTCCACTCTCTGGCTTGCTAGTAGATCCTGTATTTGTTTTTCCAAAGGTAATGGAACCAAGATGTAAACTCCTTTACTTGTGGCAACAATCACTCTTCCTAGGAAGAAATTTAACATCATTGGAAAGGGATAAAATCATTGTCTCTAAGAACACATATTGCTTTCCCCAAACTGGATCATTCTCCCATTTGTTCATCAATTTCACCAGTTTTGCTCAGTAGATTTCCTCAGGAATTATAAGTTGCAATCTTCCCTTTCTTCTGCCCACCCAAAGAATAACACCTGCTCCTTAGACTTTTTCTATACAAAAGTGCTGGTAAACTTAAAAATCAGCGTAGGAGATAGGCAATACAGAGTTCAATGAAGTTGCAGACCTCCATCATGGAACAGTATATGTGAGAATTATGATACACCTCATAAAATTTGTTAAAATTCTTTTCCTTCCAAGTTAGTTCACATAAAACTAAGATTTTGTTGCAATGTTTTGAGTCATGACTATTTGTTTCATTAATTCATTCTTTTCCCTACAATCCTACCTGTTCACCTGGCTCATGGCCAGTCCTATTGTCCTTGTACCTATGAGACCCTCCACCCTATTTAAAAGTCAGAACTGCAATCCAGGACTAGCTCTTACTTTTGAACTTTCATATTAAATTTGGCCCCTTCTCAAAAAACTTCTAGCTAAGCATTATCTGCTCACAGGAAGCAGCTAATCAATCTTTTCTTTCCATTTCCTGCATTCCAAGTAAAGTGGTTTTCTTCATGATCTTACCAGACTCTATCCCTCCTCTGCTTCATGCATTATTCTCAGGAAGCCTCCCACATAGGGTGGGTGGGTTACATCAGCCTCCTCTATGCCCATTACCCCCAAGCCCATCTTAACCACTCAATATACCCAGCACCGCAACACGCTGTATAGACATGCAGCCTGCTGTATCTGCCAAATTCACATCTGTGGGTCTTTTATCTGAAGATTCAACCAACTGTGGATCAAAAATATTTGGGGAAAAAAATCACAACTGTACTGGACACATACAGACTTTTCTTGTTATTATTCCCAAAAAAATGAAAAAAAAAAAGAAAAAAAGAACTACTTACATAGCACTTACATGGTATTTAAGTCATCTAGAGATGATGTGAAGTCCACAGGAGGATGTACGCAGGCTCTATGTAAACACACCACCATTTTATTTATGGGACTTGAGCATCTCTGGATTTGTGTATTTGAGAGAGGTCCTGAAACCAGTCCCCTGTAGGTACCAAGGGATGACTGTGCATGCTACTCAACTTCATGGGTCAGTGCCCCAAGCCAGCTGGGATCTGACCCACTTCATGGTGGGGACTGTGTTTCTTATGAAGTTTATATCCAAATCTCAGACAGTGCTAGATACATGGAGAGCAATGTTTTTGAACTAAAAATCCTTAAATGGCAAATGCAAAACATAAATCTAGATTAGTTCCTGGTTAGAAAATGCAATAAAGGCATTCTCAGGACAGTGGGGGACACTAGATAGTACTATTGTGCTAGTGTTAACATTCTCAGGGGTGAGCATGGCATCATGGCTTCAGAGGAAGGTGCCTTGTTCTCTGCAGATGGGTGCTGAGGTATTGTCAGGATTAAAGAGCTCAATGTCCTCCACTTTTGAACAATCCAGTGAATGTAACAGTGCTGGCTATAGGTGGAGGCACTAGGGTGATTCACTTTGTTTCTCTTCTAACTTCTTTATGTTTACAAATGTTCAAAATAGAACTGAGGGAAAGCGAAACTGGTGCATGCTACACACAAAATAATGTCCCTCCCTTCACATTCATCAAACACTGTAGTCACACTGTGCTGCTTGTGGGGCTTGGAGCCCCATGTTTGCTCTGGTTCACACACACTTTTTTCTCTGTTGGAAGGGTCTTCACACCACAGCTGCTTGGTTGAATCTTACACACCCTTAAAGGTTTGGCTCAAATACAACTTCCTTCAGGAAGCCCTCCCTGTTATCTCCAGGAAATACTTTCTCCTCTACTCTCCCAATGGGCCTATTCCATCTCTCTCAAGCTTTAGCACAATTGAAATGTCTCTCTCCCCATCATGGATCCTGCACATTCAGCATAAAGCCCAGTTCCCAATGGGCTCTTAATGACATTTACTGTAGAGATATCATAAAAGGTTAATAGATAAATTTCATTAAGATTTCTATGTCAACAAATACCTTCAAAGTCCTGTAGGATGTGGCCTTCCTTAAAGGGCAGGGACTGTTTTTGCTGCTGATCCAACATGCTGTGAACTGTGATGAACTCGTCATCAAGTGCTATGACATACGGGAAGCAAATGGCCGCCCCGATCACATTCTCTGACCAGTGCACAGGGGCACGCTGGGAGATCCCAGCCACAGTGGCAAACATGCCTAGAAAAACAGGAAGAACGAGCTCAGAGTGTCTTCAAATGACTGTGGTACCTTCTTTCCCAGACACACAGCTGGTGCAGAATCACACACACACACTGCCAATTCTCCTGCACAGTCTTATATATCAAGAAAGGAAAGAAACAATACACTCATGTGTAAGGAACCTATAGGACTTAATTTTGTAAGGAGAACTACCCTGCCCAGAATGTGTATCATATCTGCTTCTAATCATAAATGAAGATAAAAATGTTTCCATTTAAACCACATGCACATTTACAAATTCATGAAGCTTTGCAAACCTTTCTACTGGCTTTCCTCTGTGTTTCACCTCTTCCTCACACATTCACATACACATATTAACTGAGCACTTACTATGAACTGGCACTCCACTAGGTGTTCTATCAGGAATTAGCTATGTTCAAAAATCTAACTGTTGATAACTGGTTTTATCCCTTTAATACAGAGTATGTGGATAATCTGTGCTAATAATATATACCCTGTAAGACAGAGGTAGAACTGACTTTGCATTTCAAGACAGATTGCTGTGAAGTGGTTGTCAATGATGACCTCCATGTTAAATGAGTTTATCTGTCTTGTACATAAAGCACTAATATTGTGGTTTACAAAAATGAATACATTCACCAAGTACAGTCAATCCATTTTAACTTAGTTTTTAAGGTAGCTAACATAAAACACCTTTGAGAATATGGTGTTGCCTTTAAGTAATCAGATGCTAGTGGGATGGGGAACACAAATAGGGAGAACAGACAGATGGACAATGACAGATGGGGGAACAAGAGAAGAACCAGGGGGTGGGTTAAAGACCCCACTGCTTTGGGCCCCTAGTGAGGCAGCTCGTCAGGGCAGGAGCATGTGGCAGGGCACTCACCTCATGAACCAGGAAGCAAAGCCAGAGAAAGAGTAGGAAGAGTAGGAGGAGGGAGTCCCACAATCCTGTTCAAGGACCAGCACCCAATGAGTGGAGACTTTCCACTAGGCTCCTCCTCTTAAAGGTTCCACCACTTCCTAATATCACCACCCTGGTGACTGGACCTCTTAATACTTGGAACTTTGGAGGCATTCATCCAAACAGCAAACAGTAACATCGAAGATTCAAAAAAGTATCAAAAAATGCTGAAGCTGAGAAAGATGGTGGGCAAAGCTCCAGAATGCACGGAGTCTGAAATGAAGGCTGAGCTGGGGAGGAGGAAATGAGGACAGCATTATCTTTAATTCAACATGTATTTAGAAACAGCCAGCAAAGGAGGGCCAAAAGGAGAAGAAAGGCAATGTGTGGGCACTGGCATTGCAACACCATCTCCGCATAGGCATTCAGTAAATACAAACTGGTAGGGAGGAGCATGGAGCCATTCTGAGGATTCTGCTGACTTTTGGGTCAAACAGCCACACTCTGTAAGCCCAATACCCAAGGTAACAAGGGCACCAACAACCTTGCCCAACCTCATCATGGAATTAAAACAGGGTCACTTGGTTTACCTACTTAAGGCTGGGAAAGTCTAACTTTGAATTTTAATAGTGCAGAGGCTGTGCTAATGTTCTTGACATAAAAAGAGTAGAAACAAGAGATTAAGAATAAAAGCAAAGCAAAGGTTTCAGTGGAACAAAAGAACAGAGTAAACCAGGCATTGTAGTGCACTCTTATAAATCCTAGTACTTAGAAGGCTAAAGCAGGAGGATCAAGAGTTCAAGGCCATAAAACTGGCCAAAGGGAGTCCGTTCAGGTCAAGCCAGAGAAGTGCTTGTGGACACTTTAAGAAGAGGGTTAGTAAGTAAACCATTCCTAACACTCCCCAGCTACATTGAGGTAGGAGCCTGGGCACTGTCAACACGCAAGCATAGCAGAATTGTAAATGGTACACCTTTTGAAACCATTCTTCTCAGGTATGCATACTCTTAAGTTTCAGTCCACCCCCAGTCTAAGCTGGAGGGGACAGGGGCTCACATGGAAGGAAAAGTAGCTGAATTATTTGCCTTTAAGAAGTGTTATCAAGGATACAATAAAGTCACCAATAAGCAATTATACTATGAAAATTTTAGAAAAATTACCACTTTGCAGAAAATCAAGAGCAACTTCTTATGACACAGAAGTGGACACAAGTTATACTCTGAAAGAAACGCTGCAGACAGAATGAAAATAGAAAGCTTTTATGCTTAAAGGTGCATTGAAATCCATCTTAGTAACTTGTCCGAACTATTAATTTCTGAAGCCATATAAAGATGCCAGTGATTAGTATGCTATACGTAGAACCTATAGATATATCGGGCATATGTAAGAGAGCTCACAAGTGATCTTCTGATCTGCTTATAATTCTAGCAGTTACAAGGAGAGTGACACCTCAGCATGATGCCCATGTAGTTGAGACAGAGTAAACTTGGGGGAAAATGAATCCTAAATATGAATGACTCAATTCCCTTTAATCTAATACTATGACCAACACAGGGCTGCAGGAGTTGAATGGCTTCACCATGAAGTCTTTCTATATAGCCACAGTAGTTAGGTACTGGCACATGAATAGGCAAGAGGACAGAAAGAACAAAACAGAAAATCCAGACACAGACCCAATGTCATCAGGAAATTTAGTGTACATTAAAAGTGGCCACCTAAATTAGTGAGGAAAAGATGGGCTCTTGAGTTGGTGGGATAACTGGATAATCACATAAAAACATAATTGTATCCATTCTTTACACTGTAAGAAATGAGACTGTATAAGTACTGACAGAAAACACAAGAGAATTTGTCTATAACTTGGAAGATAGGGAAATGTTCCTAATTACAACTCAGTCAAGAGCAATAACTGAAGAAGTTGACACAGTACATTATATAGAAGTTTTTTTTTTTTTAAAAAAAAGCTTTTGCATGTCAAAAACTAGAGACATATATTTGAAAATTATATAGCATAGACAAGTTGGTATCTTCACTACATAAAGAATATTTAAAAAGAAACCCAAAAGACTAATGATAATGGATAACTTAGGACTAGGGTTGTAGCTCAGTAGTAGAGTAGGTACTCAGTATATGTGATGCCCAAGTTCAATTCCCAGTCACCAAAAACAAAACAAAAAACCAAAAACAGTGTGTTCAAGACCAACCTGGAGTTATATAACAAGACCCTGTTTCAAAAAAAAATAATAATAATAAGGTAATTCCCATCTAAAGGAACAGTGGAATGATAATTCTGCTTCTAACATGAAAACAGCTTAATCATGCATTTGGGGGAAATATGCCAGACTGGCAAAAACGCTAAAGCTTGGCAACATGCCCTGTTGACAAAGCCAGGGGAAACAGGCTATGCTGTACCTTGCTGGAAGAATATAAAACAGCACAGCATTTACCAAGGGTGAATATGGTGATGCCTAGCAAAATTCACAGGTGCTACACTTTCACTCAGCAATCCCATCTCTAGAAAGCTTATCCACAGATATGCTGAAGACACACACACAAACACATGCACACACACACACTCATGGTAAGTCCTATAAGTAGCCCCAAAGTGGACAAAAACCAAATAATCTCCACCCATAGTTGACCGGCAGGAAAAACTACAGTACTGCCACACAGCAGAGTAACATGAAGCCATGAAGATCAAGAGGGCTGGGCACTGGGCACATACATGTTATTCCCTCTGTTCCAAGGCTGAGGCAGGGAGACTGCTTGAGCCCAGGAGTTCAAGGCCAGCCTGAGCAACGCAGCCAGATCCAGTCTCAAAAAATATACATTACAAAAAAAAAAAGGAAAGAATGGAGGAATATTTTCATATCATACTACAAAGTGATCACCGTAACATATTAGATTAAAAAGGCAAAGTAAAGTAAGCTGCCATTTAGCCAAGAAAGAGGGAGTATGTTTATACTCTTTAATTAAAAGTGAAAGGATAAGCCTCAAAATAAAGTTTTCCGTGGAGGGAGGGAATGACTTGGTAGAGAAAAGGACACATGCTAGTCTTCTTTGATTAGGCTTTGTGGTGGCCATCTGCCTAAGAAATCTGTAAATATTCCCATGACAAACAATAAACAAACTAAGGCAATTTCTTTAAATCTGAAGGTAAAAATGAAACAAATAAATCTAACTGCATATCTAGTTGGTGGCAAAACCACACAGAGGGGACCTCTTCCAAGTGACTTTAAACACAGTAATTTTTTATTCTTCATATCCTAAGGACAGAAAGCACCACCAAAAATCAGGCTTTTTCCAGTGACCACACTGTGAGAACAGCAGTGCTGGGACCGCTGCCACTGAGGCAGCAATCCAGCGAATTGCTGTGGTGGAGTGGGAGAAGTGGATTTTTGGTATGGCTAAAAAGAGAGACCAGGATACAGATGGATAGGCCCTCCATCCATGAGGGCCCATGGATCTTAAACATGATCTTACAATGGAGTTATCTTTATCTTAAAATACAGCCTTCTCAGCACTGGCTACCCAAGAGGCCAGAAACAACGGACAACAAGCACCTCCAGCACCCAGGCTCAGGTCTGTAATAGCAGGGCTCCTAGAAAGAATGGCAGAAACCAGATCTAGGTGAGTCAGGAAATAGAACAGGTGAGTCAGGAGCATATCACAAAGCAAGGAAGTTATCAGATTTTTAAAGACATGTCTCAGGACCATCTGAAGAGGCTCCAGCAGGCACCGAAGGAGCCAAGCATTTCACAGACATGTGCTCATGAGTTCACAAGGCTTGTTAAACAGGCAATTCTAGAAGGTGGACCTTACTGCCTTAACCTGCCTTTTCATACAAAGTAATGGGGATAACCAAATAATTGAGTAGGAGAAAGTTTGTTTCCTGAGGCACTCACAATAACTTATGAAGGAAGAATGGGGAGAAATACAATGCTGCCCACTGCTAGGCCCTAAAGAATTAATGGATTAGGCAATGACCATCAATAGCTATTATTATCATAAAAAGGGAGATAAAAAGGTATTAGTAACCCCTGAGAGAAAGTACTCCACCACTACTGTAGTCTTGCCTCCCCCAAGCAAGCAAAAGTCTCGAATCTCCTAATTATCTTTTGCAGAAAACACAGAGGTCATGTCACAGGGCTCAGAGTGGCACATTAAACAATACTATGGGGATGAAATCATCAAAATCCAGACAAGAAAGCCATACAATTTCTCAAGGAAAAATAAAAAGAGAGGAAGGGGGAACTTAAAAGAAAAAAGAAATTTAACAGATTAACCAATTGCAATGTATGGGCAGGCCTTGGTTGAAACTGAGTCAAATAAACTGAAAAAAAAAATCCAAATACTTAAATCTAAGTGGACATATAGATATTTGTGTACACCTCTCTACTATATATGATAAAATAAGAGAAATAAGACATGCCTAGATGTATTTGGTAATAAGGAACTAGTGTCTTTTTTTAGGTATGTAATAGCATTGTGGTTTATGTTTTGTGTATATGTGTCTATAACTTAGAACTATATGCCAAAATATTTACAGATGAAATGCTATGATGTCTGGGATCTGCTTCAAAATAATCAAGCAGAGGGAGTGGACAGGTGTGGAAAGGAACTGATAAAGGCTGAAGTAGGGTGATGGCTACCTCAGGTTTATCATGCTATTCTCTTTACTGTATAAGTTTATGTATGCTTTCCATAATAAAAAAAAATCTGCATTTTGTTGAAGAAAAGGGTGGTTGAAGTAAAGAATTTTTTTTCTTCAAATAGTAAAAGTTTGAGCTGTCAAGCCATGAAAGGGCATGGAGAAATCTTTAACACATATTGCTAAATAAAAGAAGCCAGTCTGAGAAGGCTACTTAGCATTTTTTAGCTACATGACATTCTACAAAAGGCAAAACTATGACAACAATAACAAGGTTAGTGGCTGCCAGGAGTTAGGGGGAGGGGAAGGATGAATGAGTACAAAACAGAGGATTTTTACTATATAATACTATAATGACGGGTAATTTTTCCACACCTATCTTATGTACAACACAAACAACGAACCCTAATGGAAACTATGGACTTTGGTTGATAACAATGTCTTGATATAGGTTCTTTGGTTGTAACAAATGTGTCACTGCTGTGGGAGATGCTGACAATGGGAGAGGCTTTGGGAAGGGAAGGGAGTAAATGCGAACTCTGTACCTTCCTTTCAGTTTTGCTATGAATCTCAAGTTGAAAAATAAAACAATGTACATTAACTAGTTCATTACCTGAATTTCTGACACTATGAGAAAAAATGTTTATATTATCATTTTAAAATGAGATGTCTGTACAAAAACACTCCAAAGTTAAAAATACCTGTGTTCAAATGGATTCACAGTACCCTGTGACATAAGATATACACTAACTCCCAACAGAAGCTACCCAGCACTGAAATGGTGCCCCAGGAGACATCATGAGTTGTCAGTATGTACTTCATTGTGATGTGCACATCAGAGTTGGTTGAGGCCAGAGAAGAACAGCCAAAACCCCGAACTTTCAAAAGTGAAAATTATGGACAAAACATTAAAGCCCCCATGCTGTGTTTTGGGTCCTACATGTCCTCTAAAAGCCCATGTGTAAAGGCTTGGTCCAGAGGGGTGGCACTATTAGGAGATGGGGGAACCTTTAGTGGGAGGGGCCTAGTGGGAGGTCTTTTGATTATTGGAGGAATGCCCCTGAAAGAGAGGACAGAACCTAATCCTTCTTCTCTTACTTTCCCGACAGACATGAGGCAAACATTTTGCATTGCTCCATGTTAGCCACCATTGCCATTTGTACCCCCATCAGAGACCCAAAGCCATGGGTCCACCTCAAACATCTAACTGTGAGCCAGTATTTGTTATGGTAATGGAAAGCTAGCACATTCCTCATTTGAAAATACTGGGTGAGGGAAAAATTGTGTGAGGAAGTCTTGCAGAAGTTTATTTTTGCAGTTATTTACTTAAAAGAAATTTTCTCCCCAGAGCTGTCCACAAGCTCCACTTTAACACAAAATAAAACTGCTTTTATGATAGTCTATTTCTGTTCTACTTAACTCATCACTCACAATCCGGCAGAATTTCAGCACACGATACTCATGCAGTTCTGCCCCATCTTGTCCCTCATCCTCAATGCTGTCAAACACTCTTCTTAAGTGCAGTCATGTGCCACATAATGACCTATCAGTCCGCAGTGGACTGCATATCTGACTGTGGTCTCATAAGATTACAATGTCACCTACTGATGTTATAGCCACCTGATGATTGCATGACAAAATCACATAACAATGTGTTTTTTGGAATTTGTCCCTGTCACTAGGCAACACATGACTGTATTATCTTTTCACAGTGACCTCCTTCTCCTTCTGCAATCAGCATTTGGGGATCCCCCAGGACAGCAGGCAGGGTACAGGCACCATCAGTGGTAGTGCTCCAGCCCCTCCTCACCCAGGCCTCCTGGGCCAGCCAGCAGGAACTCCTGTCTGCCTATCCTCTTGACAATCGGCAGCTTCTCCTCACTGCAGTAGGGAAACAGATCTTGGAAGAGGCCCGTGCTGTAGTTCAGGATGATATACTGTGTGGTCAGTGCCAGGCACAAGAAGTGGCCATCCACAGCCACGGCGAGGGGCTGCTCTGGGGTGGACACTTCCTTGACTATCTGAACACGGTCCTCGTACACCAGAAACACCTGGATTGTTCTACGTTTCACAGAGATGATGCACACTTCCACACAGAATGGGTCCCCGCTTACAGGGTTCTCATTCAGAGCAAATGTCACAGCCCCTTTAATGCGGGCTCCAGAGGGGACAGGCTCCAGGTTCAGCATATTGACCAGGGTTATGGAGTTGTCACACAGCACCAAGAGCCTGTTAAGGGCTGAGGCTGCTCGCAGCTCATTCACCGGCTTCTTGAAGCCCAGATGTTTATGCAGTTGTTTGGTGGCAGTGAACGCAGCTGTCCCCGCGGGAAGAGCCTTCTCCTCCAACAGGAAGTGGTAAATGAAGCAGTCGTTGGTGCCGATGTAGAGGTTCTTCCCGCAGCACTCCACGCACTCAATGCTGATGCGTTCTTTGTCACCCATCAGCAGCTCCTGGTCAACAGCAGAGACCAAGGTGAAGGCCTTGATGTTCATCATGTCTACTGGCTGATCTGTGGGAAGAGACAGAAAATAACTCTTAGAGAAAAAGGGAATAAGCAGAAATATACCAGATTGCAACATAGGCACAATGATTTCCCATTCACATTTCAGCTAAAAAGATAATCTAATGCTATGAGAAAATGGAAAGAAAAGTGACCTGCCCCACCAGACAACTGGGACCCTGGCAAAGAGAACATTTTGCTTGTGATGACTGAGAGCTATGTGGAGCTGCCTCCACTGTCTCTGGGAGACACGTCAGCAGGCAGGAGACACTCACACATACATCCCTAAACAACATGGTAGAAAGGCCTCTGAAAATGCAAAAACGGTGCTCAGTGATCTTTCCTGTACCGTCTATGAATTTGTATTTAAAAGAATAGTGGTACTTACTACAGGATCCTGCCAAAACCACTGAGGCAGGAAGCATGTGCTAGATTCCGTGTTCCTCCCAGTGAGGCACGTACACTGACCCCAGCTTTGCATTTGCTTTGTAGAGTACACATGTTCATATCCAATAGCAAAGACACACTTTGACTCTCCCACTTTTGGATGGTACGGTGAGCTTCTTATACTACCCGTGCAGGTCACCGGTATGGTAGTTACTGGATGAGCCCATTGGAACACTGCCCATTCACTGACCTGGGGCTTCCTACTCTTTTTCCTTTCACATTTCAGAGTCAGAAGCAGCAACACGGCAAAATAGCCTCAGTTCCTCACTGGCAGGAAGGCAGCTTCATGTCATAGCCCAATACCTGTGAGGGCCAGGGATCAGCAACTGTAGGGAGGCCCAGGACAACTGGTGGCAGTTACAGGGATGGTGGTTGGGCTTGCATCAAAGATGGAACAGGGTTACCTCATGAGAGACTAAATTCCTTAATTCTTTGAGGCATTCCAGCAGACTGTAAGAACTCAGAAATAGCCAAGAGATGTTCAGCATTGGGGACGGGGAGGAATCAGGTATCTTTCCTTGAACCTTCCAACTCAAAGATTTTAGAATCCCATAATTTCTTGCATCCCTCATCCACTGGGGCAATGACAGCTACACATAAATGAGAACCCAAGTCCCTTTCCTGAGCCAACAAGACCCCCAGGCTTGGGGATGAGGTCTATCTGCGGCTATATCAGAGTCCTTCCTCACTTGAGCAAATTCCTTGGTGCTATGGTTTGAATGTCTGTTACTACCCCATTCATGAGCTCAGACTTAAGGCCTAGGATGGTGGTGGCGGGAGATTAGGTCCTGAAGGTGAAGCTCTCAAGAATGAAATTAGTGTCCTTATTGTAGAGGCCCAAGAGCTTGTTTGTCCTTTCCACTACACAAGGACGCAGCAGGAAGGTGTTTCTATGAAGAACAGGCCCTACACAGACATTGAAGATACTAGTAACTTGATCTTGTACTTCCTGGTCAAGATAGGTATGAGCATAAATTTGTAATTGCGAATTACCCAAGTTATGGCACTTTGATGTAGCAACAAAAACTAAGACACTTGACTTTTCAGTTTCCACATCTGTGAAATGAGTGAAAAAATAATGGTACCTACTTAATAGCATGGTTTAAGGGCAAAGTAAATCAGCTCAAGTAAAATGCTTGATATCTGGCACACAACATTCTGTAACAGTCTTTGAATCCACCATGAAGATTAACTTCTTCCCCATCTTGATTAGCTCCTACCCCTGCCTAACCCCCAGGTCTACTTCAAGTATTTATTTCCCAGTTGGGTGTCACAGGATGAAACAGTGCCATGTTCTGTCCCATCTCCACCGAAGTACAGACTGAAACACAACCATGAACATTGACACACATGAGCCCCCACAGGCATCTTCACACTCCTTGACATGAGCTCATCTTTGGGGAACCAAAGAAGAGAGGAGGGGGACTGAGCAGTGAGGCTCCAAATGCAACCCTGAGAAGGTACCCTGTCCACCCACCTCAGGCTGCAGGACTTTCAGGACCCAGGGGCAGTAGGGTGAAGGTGTCCAGTAGGCCTCTGCTAGGAATATGTGGCACAAGTAATCCTTAAACACCAAATATAATCATCATAACTCACCCAGAGAATATTTTCCTATTTAAATGCTAATGAGTAAAACCCAGATATTTAAATGTAGGTTTGGAGACACCTAAGTCAGTAGAAGCCAAAGAAATATAAGAAAGCTGGGTGTTAGTGGCTCACGCCTATAATCCTAGCTACTTGAGTGGCAGAAATCAGGAAGATCTCCATTCAAAGGCAGCCCAGGCAAATAATCTGCAAGACTCTATCTCAAAAATACCCATGAACAAAAAAAGGGCTGGCGGGGTGGCTCAAGTGGTAGAACACCTGCCTAGCAAGCATGAGACCAAGTTCAAATCCCAGTACCACCAAAAAAAAAAGAAAGAAATACAAGATTTTTTTTTCATTGATTGATCAATCAGAGGTGTCTTTGAAAATGGCAGGATAAAGTGATTCTTTGTGCAAAGAATAGAGAAACAAGATTTAGGCATCTACAATCAAATCCTTATTTAACTTCTTAGAAGCAAACTGTCTATAATTCTACCTTGGCCTTCATTTAGCATTAAGGGATAAACAAGCACATTTGCAGTGAAGAATACTATGAACAGAAACAAACACCTAACACCTATATTTAGTCTAAGTCCTGGGGTGGGCAGTAGAGAAGGAGAGGTAGTTGTAAGAAAGGCTATGAAAACGTCATAGTTCCATGACATTTAAAAAGAAATGCAATATTGCTTCATTAGCTATAACTGGTATATAGTTTTATATATATAACTGGTAACTAGTTATCTCGATCTTCCTGTAAGTTTCCTGGTAGAGGTCTTTAAGGACTTGCTTTTATAATTAAGTAGAATTTATATAAACCAAAATTAAAAGAGCTGGCCACTTAAAAATGGTTTGTTCCTTAGAAGGTAACACACATGCACAGGAAATCAATGTGAGTCAATGCCCTGTATAGCTATCCTTATCTCAACTAGCAAAAACCCTTGGTCCTTCCTATTATTGCTTATACTCTCTCTTCAACAAAATTAGAGATAAGGGTAAAATAGTTTCTGCTGGGTATTGAGGGGGTGGGGGGGGAGGGAGGGGGCGGAGTGGGTGGTAAGGGAGGGGGTGGGGGCAGGGGGGAGAAATGACCCAAGCATTGTATGCACATATGAATAATAAAAAAAATGGTTTGTTCTTTTAAGCAGCAGAATTCTCTTCATAACATACTTCACAGGATAAACTTATATAGGTAAATACAAATCATAAAAAATAAAACTTTAGGCCACATGTCTGTATTACCTACTATTAAGTTCAACTTACTGGAGTCTGAATCAGAGGCTTCAATACGATTGAGTAATACGATTAAGCATCCCTAGGATACCTGAGTCATCCTTTACTGTGTGTTTCAAACTGACTTAAGGTTTAAACTTTTCATCAGAACTTCATGTAAAAATCATGGTCACAACTCAAAAAGATTAACATTTCCATGTTTTCTCAAAATTTTTCAAAATGAATAACCAGTTAGAGAAAGAGACTGAAAAATGTTAGTGCATTCATGGACTATAATTTAAATAAGGAAAATACTACATATGAACCAAGTATCTCTGAGTGTGCAAAATAAAGTAAGGTTACAAGAAGTCTCCTTTCCCAAAGGTCTCCCAATCTCATTAAGGAAATAAGACTAGAAAAATCAACAAATGATAATGTGTGAAAAAGGTCAAAATAAAAATCTTAATAATTATTTTCTACCAACTTGAGTCTATGCACATTGTCCTTTTAAAGATAACTGCCACTAATATAATTAGAATCTAAATAAGTGTCTTTGAAAATGCTAATGTAAGGATTCAAGATGGCAGCTAGAGGGAGAAAGCAGAAAGTGTGCTTCCTAAAGTAAAATCTTGGAGAGACACTGGAGATACACATTACAGGAAAAACCACCCAGAAGAGGCAAAACTTTGACTCCTCCACACCTCCAGTTCACACATAGCATCCCCACGTCATGTTAAATGGAGAAACAAGGAGGGTTCCCTCGCTGCTGCCAGACGCCAGCGCCCAGACGGCTTGGGAAGATGCAGACCACAGGATAAGCTACGCTGCAGGCAGTACTCCCATAGACAACCCTGGGCCAGATCAGCATAGCCCCCTGGACAGACCAACCCCCACCCAGGGAAAAAAGGAAAAACAACTGAATAATAAGCAATAACAACAAAAAAGACACGTAGCAAAGAGGGCGGGGTGCCCTGAGCACTGAAGAGGGGAGGAGGGGCAATCCCTCATGGAACTATAAATAAACAAGCTGCAGGAGAAGGCAGGAGCTGCTGGCACACGACCAGCAACCAGGAGCAGGAAAGCTTGTAAAAGTGGTGGTGGGAGGAAAACTCCACAGGCAAGAGGGGAAGACCCACTTCCCACATGAACTGTAAATAAATAAGCCAGCTGGAAAAGACAGGAGTGGCAGCACATGCCCAGCAACCAGGAGCAGGAAAGTTTGTAAACGTGGTGGTGGGAGGAAAACTCCACAGGAGAGGGGGGAAGGCCAACTTCCCACGTGAACTGTAAATAAACATACTGGCCTGAGAAAGCTGGTGCAGTGTCACTTCCCCCACTGTGCTTGGAAAGCGGCAGATGCGCCCAGGAGAACGCTAAGTAAACAAAGCCTGAGGGGCTAGGTGAGTGTTAAGCTCACTCCTGAGATCTACATAAATAAAGCCTCCAGCAACAGCAGGCTGACAGCAGCAGGCAGGTGAGCCACAGCCTCAGATAGCCATTCACCGAACTGTCTCCAGACTTTTTTTTCTCCCTTCCTTTGATGAGACAACAACTGAACTATACCTACATGCTGAAAAACTTACTGAAACTTTATTGCATTTGCACTTGGGACACTTTATGCTGTTTTTTTTGTTTTGTTTTGTTTTATTTGTTTTCCCCTTTGATGAGACAATGACAGACTACTTCTGAGACACCATCTCCAGGACTGGAGGTGGAGGGACCAACACCAAAATTATTAAGACTGAAACTTTATTGCATTTGAACTTGGA